GTTGTTGAGTTGAATCTATGTCTTACTGAGAATAGTATTTCTATTTCTCATTAACTGTTTTGGACTATACATATCCTCAGAGAGATGTTTCTTGTAAACGTCTGATTTAACATTATTTGATTTGTCTTACATAAGTTCCTTAAAGACTGATCTTTGACTAATCAGATCGGTAGATGCTTACCTTTAACTTTAATTTCCCTCCAGGGGGCAGGTTGGCATCTGGTTTTTTCGCAATAAAAGGTTCCAAGGGTCTTCAACTTAAGATATAAGTTAGTTCTGTTCATTGAGATCAAATCACATATGTGGCTGTCAAAATGAATTTTCTCACTCTGTTGAACTATAATGTATTTTAGAGGAAGACAAGGGGCTTTAATCGCCCATACACAAAAGATCACATGTGCTAAAGCAATCAGACAAAACACCAGAATTTATAATTCTTTCAGGATGAGTAACGAGGATCTAGTCTAATAATGACTTAGATCACACGTGGACTCTGATGGGCTCATCGATTAACTGAGTTAAATTTGTGCTTTTAAGAATATTATTTGATAAAGAACGATCAAGCCAATTGCTACTGAAGTCACCTGAAATAATCATTTCACCTGGGTTCCTAAATGAAGTCCATGTCTCTGAGAAGGTAGGTACTTAAGGTTTGTACTGAGTGACCTATACTCTAATTACTCTAATTAAGTCTAATTTTTAGACCTATAACTATCAATTATGAGTCAAGGGAATAACAGAGTGAGGCAGGGGAAGTGTCTGAGAGAGGAGGGAAGGAGAGCCATAGTACAAACACATATACACACACACACACACACACACACACACACACACACACACACACACACACACACACACACACTAACCTTTCAGCCTTCTAGCTTGAGTTCTGTGCCCTCAGGTTACAACTGAATGCCATTTGCAACACCACCCGAAAGCTATAAAGTGTAGAACAATAGTCACTGTGGTATAATTACAAGATGACTGACTGGTGTCGTCAACATTTCCTGATTCACTGTCACTTAATGATAGGCCAAATTCCAAAAACTGTACCTCACTGCCTCTGAGAAAAACAAACAAAAAACCCCACAAAATCCCACTATTATAATTCAAAAGGAAAGAGTCAAAACGGAGCTGACTTCTTAAAATGTGGCTTTATAGTTACAGTGCAGTATCATATTATTACATCTAAGCAGATACTCTTGCAGATGAGACACAACAGTGATAAGAAAGGCAAAAGTGAACTCCATCTGCATTGATGAGACATGTCAGTTCAGTCAAAACTGTCCATGACACAACTGAAAAGGCATAGAACATTTATTCTTTTTATAGGTGTCATATCTTTGAACAGATTCAAACAAAGCTTCATCATAAAACCAAGCAGCTCACTCTGCATAGCTCTTGAGAAGGCTAAGAAGTAACCCAAGAAATAAATCAAAAGGTCCCAAACAGAAAATATTTTGGCCACCCCAGTTGCCATCCCAATGTGATTGGTTATCTGCCCAGTCAGTTTAAAATGTCTGATGAGTAGAATGAACTTTCGTTTACAGGTGCACTTCAGTCTTAAACCTGAGATCAGTAATGTGCCAGAGTACTGTCTAGCCTGCCAAAAAGCCACAGAAGAAGAAGAAGAGGATATGCTTTGATTTGGAACGGAGCTGCTGAGCAGAGCTCACTAGTGTAGAGGCTAGCAGTCAGCTTAATAAGTCTCTGGGGATTCTGGGCTACATTGCTCTCGTTATTTGCTCTGGCTCCTGAAAGAGCTTTATTTTATATTTGTGTGGTGTCACTCTTGTGTTGTGACAGGTAGGTCTATTTATCTTTTAAAGTAAACTATAAACAAGAATGTGAGACACTGCAATATAGTAATTAAAGTAGGTATGGGTAGTGGAGACAAATTGCCCCACCTGAGCCATCCCCGCACAAAAAGTCTGGGCATGCCACTGGAGCCATGTTTTCCTCGTAGCACAGTGAGTCAGTCACCCACCCTGGGGATACAGAGGTTCAGCAATGTAACCCTGTAACCCTGGTGGAAAGGTCCTACACTTTCTGAACAAATTTCATAAAAGTCTTTACATTGGTGTGGTTTGTTTTTTCCAGGATTGTATCACCAACAACTAAATTGTTATATTAAAATTTATAGCATATTTAAGTTCTGTGACTTACCTCTCTCTGCCTTCTGCCTCTGCGGCTGGTTTGGCTTCTGATCTCGGAGCTGGTGAGCGCGGTTGAAGAGGTTGTCAGGAAACTATTTGCACCTGCACCTCCTCTTTATGCCCATCTGTGTGAACTCTTGTGGCTCAAAGGTTAAAGCACTTTCTCTTGAGCTACTTTTCAGTTTCCAACAAATATTCCCAGTCTTCTGTCAATATCCAATATATTTAACGCAAGTAAAACTAACTGCATTTTCTTCGTAACTCGTCCTGTCAAAGCCATGCAGGCATGTCATTACGTACTTAAAATGGATGCATATACACAATGATCAGCTAATTTGTTTTGGTGTTGAGTGGGAAGATGGTTGACTTTTAATTACAAATTTCAAAGTTCAAATCCTGCTTTTGCCATCCTGCATGTAGTCTGAATCTTTGCATTTTCCAGGAAAACTTTTCACACAGTGTCATGTATTTCACAAAGCCTCCCAGTACAATGAGTTGCTCCTGGTGATAAAATTCCAAGAAAATTCTTTGAATAATGAAATTGCACCAAGAGTTAAGGCTAGATTCTGGTAAAGATATAAGTAATTCACAAAGCATCTTAGCTCTTAAAGGATAACAAACATTTTTCAACCTGGAGCATATTTCCCCATGTAAATTGGTCAAAGAGACTCATGTGAACAATTTTTGAAGTTGGTCCGGTATTGAGTGATATAATCATCCATAACACTGAAAATCCTTTAGACAACACTGAAGTATATTTTCTGTAAACTACTCCGGTTATTATACTCTCTCTAGATCTCACACACACCGTTTTACTGTTGGCTGACCGCAACAAGTGTAGGTAAAGAAGGTAAAGAGACACTTCAGCCACTTATAATAACAATCTGAGCCTGTCTGTGGCAAAAATAAGCACTTTTAATGGACATACAGTGAGGGTGTTCAATTGCCCCACATACTGCCCATCACACGGCTGCCAGCTGCTGCCCCCTTTCTCAATACTGGACCAATTTAAAAAAAAAAGTGCTGTTCACATCAGTCTCTTTCATCAACTTACATGGAAAAATAGGGTCCAGTTTTTTTTTAAAAAAAAAGCCAAAGTTATCCTTTAACAGTGCTCCTAAGTCAAAAAACTTACGAGAACAGAGTAGGACTTTTAAGAGGCTCAAGAGTTTCCTATGCAGAGGAGAAAATTGTGGGAAAACAGAGATGGGGACTCGAGTCATTGTGACTTGGGCTCGAGTCGACTCGAGTCACTGTTTTGATGACTTGTGACTTGGCTTGACTCGGACTTGGAAGTTAAAGACTCGGGACTTGACTTGAGACACGATGACTTGAATGACTTGAGTGTTATTCACATCATGTTTTCGGTTACAATATAAAATTAATAAATAAATTTAAAAAATAATGTTGATTACCCGGTAGGAGCGCAGGCTGAGAATGGCATTGTCATGACTGGATCACTACCTTGTCAATCAGTCATGCCCTCTCTACGTACCTTACGTGTTTATTGGAGAAACAGGCCCTCTTATATCAGATAGGCATCAACATGTCGGCGGGATGGGTACCGAGAGTCATCGTCTTCGGCTTTCGGAATTACCATTATGACGGCAAAAGACGAACAGCACAGTGCAAGACATGCGGCATAATCATCTCAACGACAACTTCAAACTTTGTTCATCATTTGAAGAGCCATTCTGCCCAGTAAGTGCTTGTCAATTAGCTAATATTATCTGGTTAGTCGGTAGTTAGCTAACGTTAGCTTGATACAATACGGGAGTGGGTCGGTTTGGTGGAACTTGTTTTTTAACTTATTTGCTAACATGAACCCCAGAAAACGTGAGCGAACATTCCGACCGGTTCATCACAAGACCGACTGTATGTTTTATGAACGAGCAACACAGGGTTAAATGAGCTAAATGGGTGATTTTGGCCACTGCTTTGGTTAGTGTGTGTGTGTGTGTGTGTGTGTGTGTGTGTGTGTGTGTGTGTGTGTGCACGCACGCGTGGGGGTCGTCCCTGCAAAGTAAACATTGCAGCGATGAAGTCAATGTTTACTGACAGTTACTTATATCTTGTCTTTTCACTTTATTAAGATCAGATTCTGCAGGTAAAATTACAATAATAAGGTAACTTGACTTGACATAACCTGTGACTTGACTTGACTTGCCCAAGAAAAAATGACTCGGGACTTACTTGAGACTTGAAGGTTAAGACTTGAGACTTACTTGAGACTTGCACATGTGTGATTTGGTCCCATCTCTGGAAAACAATGAGGTAAGAGAAATACTCACTGACTGCTCTTGCAGTTCAAGAGACAGACAAATACACTGTTTAACCAATTCCTTACATGCCACTTTAGGAAAGGCTAAAAAAGGACATCACCTTCCAAACGCTTTATATGCAGATTACGCTGTCCACAGCTTCAGCATGTGGAGACATCGAATGTTTGACAGGCCTGCCATGCATAGATATGTTTGCTAAGCTTTGAACAGACAGCCACTGTTTGGTAGAGGAGGTAAATGAATACTGAGTTGATGTCCAATGTCCAACATTTGCTTTATATTGTGTTTGATATTTCTCCTTTTACAACTATTTGTGGTAAAACCCCCTTTTTTTAAAATACTATTCTGAAAATTCTTTATTATTGACAATAAGGCAAAATTGCAAGACTAGAAAGATGGCCTGGGACTGGGACCCAAAAGTTCTCATTCATACACTTTCCGTGAAAATGTTTCTGCTATAAATACATAAATGGGCCCCAAAATGCAAGATTTTTGACATGTTTGGAATCTCCCATGATAAATAGAGATGAGTGTGCACTGAGTATCTGCCATGCAGGTAGCATTAGCCTGTGCACTTCAGGACTAAACCAGAGTTGGTAACAACCCAGAGTTTGTTCAGGTCGTAGCTCAGGTGACGGACTCTCATGCACATTGGGACACGGGCCCAGTATCTGCCAGCAGATGGGCGACCAGTGACAATGCCAACTCTGTTGAGAGAGAAGCAGAAATCTGTAAAACCATCATCTTAATTCTGCTGATGGAAACAGAATTAAGATGATGGTTTTACAGATTTCTGCTTCTCTCTCAACAGAGTTGGCATTGTCAACTCTGTTGAGAGAGAAGCAGAAATCTGTAAAACCATCATCTTAATTCTGTTTCCATCAGCAGAAACTCTGCACAGAGCTTATGAAGCCTCTGAGATTATTGTAGCTTTTTCCCTTTACAGAAAATGTGCTTTTGGTACAGATTTTATATTAGTGTATAATGCACTTACAGACTTTTTTTTGATAGAAAGTCATCCTCACAAATATTATTACCAGACTGTGAGTACTGACTTACCTTTGGTAGACGTCACCACGTGAGGTCACTCCAAAAACAGTTCCGTCAGTCCCCACTTCAACCATTTTCATGGGTTGCCCTGCCACTTGTGTCCAGCCTGAGGTGCCACAGCTTACTGAGTTTATTGTCTGTCATAAGAAGCATACATGGAGTCGTCATGATTAATGAATGAGTATAGTCCATGTGACCTAACAGTAACACCAACACCACCAAGAGTTAAAGACATGAGATTTCAGAAGTGCCAACCCGTGTGAAGTAGACCCGGTTACTCGTGTCGACTCCCCAGCATCCGTTCTTTGGGCTACAGGTGTAGTACTTCAATCTTCTTGACAGGGAATTCCACCTCAGGTAACCCACTCCACTGTAGGTCAAAGCTGAGCTACATCTCAGACAGTAGGCTTGGTTGGAGGTAGTGACTCCCACAAGTTGATCACCACCTCCAGCATCCACCTGCTGCATAGACATTTAGTCAGCAAACAGCTGTTGCTGTTTAGACTTTTATACATTGTGTGTCCTGTAAAGGTGTGTTGCAAAAGTAAATCTGTCAGTTGGAGATCTTTCTCCATAGTAGGAGCACTGTACTGCACCAGCACTATGATATTGCAATGTAAACTTAACAAAAGTATTAATGATGACCAATCAAATCCATACAGACTTTATTTATTCATGTGGAAGTAACAATATTTCTAATAATAAAAATCATACTAACCAGTGGATCGTACATAGTTGCCAGCAACGTATTTGAAGACGATGTTTGATGTACTACTTCCCCAAAGTCCTGCATATCCCACTGAGAGATGCTTGAATCTGATTGAGCTCAGTCGCTACCAAAACGATCCAATCAGGACATACGGATAGTTGTACCTGTCTGTTGCCACCACTTGCCCCTGCCCAGCGTCAATCTGTTGAGCATTATACAGCCTCGGACCCTCATCACAGTTCCAGTCTGTGAAGACAAAAGCATTACAGGGAATTACAGAGCATTCTGGGGCAGCGCCACCATGTTTGGAGGATAGTGTACGTAACTACATTAGCTGTCATTGTCTGTCACCAGTTATTTGTCATCTGTCACACTCTTGACAGAGGGAAGGAAGCAATATACTGAAGTTAGTTAAAGATAGTCATCCTTACAAATTAGGAGATATAAAATGATCATTGGATCTTGACAGCTTGCCACACATTTCAGTTTGTGATGCTGGTGCTTTTTTGGTGTTTAGTGCCTACACCTGTCATAAATTCAAAAGCTTAAAAACTTTTGAGGCTAATGTCCAATTTACAAACAGATGGGTACAGACTTTCAGATGAACAGGCCAAAAGTAACTACACAATGATCTGGACAGAGACAAGCAAGCCAATGTGCTAATCTAACACCATCTAACAAAATTAAGCATATTATGTCCGCTCACCTTTGTGTCTGACTGTATATACTACATTTAGTGTTTTCAATCATATTCACTGTGTAGTCTTTTGTGTTAGTTATTGTAAACAGCCAGTGGATGGCTCACTTACTTGGTGCAATTGGTGGCACAATTGGCCTCACAGGAGGCCTAACAGGAGGCCGCACAGGAGGCCGCGGGGATGGTCTCACAGGTGGCCGCACGGATGGTCTCACAGGAGGCCGCAGGGATGGTCTCACAGGTGGCCGCACGGATGGCCTCACAGGAGGCCGCACAGGAGGCTGCGGGGATGGTCTCACAGGTGGCTGCACGGATGGTCTCACAGGAGGCCGCACAGATGGCCGCATGGGTGGCCTCACAGGTGGCCGCACAGATGGTCTCACAGGAGGCTGTGGGGATGGACGCACAGGAGGCCGCGGGGATGGACGCACAGGAGGCTGCGGGGATGGACGCACAGGAGGCCGCAGGGATGGACGCATGGGTGGCCTCACAGGAGGCCGCGCAGATGGTCTCACAGGAGGCCGCGGGGATGGACGCACAGGAGGCTGCGGGGATGGACGCACAGGAGGCCGCAGGGATGGACGCATGGGTGGCCTCACAGGAGGCCGCGCAGATGGTCTCACAGGAGGCCGCACTGATGGCCGCACAGGAGGCCGCACAGACGGCTATGCAGGTCTCTGTTTTATTAATTCTGCAGACACAGTACCCATTAATGTGAGGGAGAAAAACATATGTTTTACAATAAGAAAGTCTATTTTCCCTTAAACTGCTTCAACAATTAACTTAAGCTGTTCTTTAGACACTCATCGTAAACAGCCAGTGGATGGCCCTCTTACCTGCCGCATTTGCCCCCTTTCCCCGTACTGAGGGATCACCTGTTAATATGAGAGGGAAATACATATCCATTAAAGTAAAAAAGTCTGGTCTTATTTCATTTGAACCTGCTTCAGCTATTAATTCTGTAACACAAATATAATGAGACAGTGACTTACCATAACTGATGGTCAGGTGACACAGCACCAGCAAGATGGCTGCAATAACTTTCATGTTGTCTGTGTTTAGGAGTCTTTAGTCAGCAGTGCACTCCTAGATGTTCGTCTATGTCTGGGTGGTGCTGCTGACCTGCATCCCATCTGATCTGTGTCTCTTTTATACTCTAGATCCATGGGTCTGAACAATGTGCTTAATCATAGCCAGAGCTGGTTCTGCAGGCTGTTCAGGGAGGCAAGGTGACAATTTTTTATTTAAATGTATCCACCCAGTTTGACAGCTTTTGTTAGGTGGAGAATCCCATGTGGTGCTGACCAAAACAAAAGAACAACTTGTGCAGCCATCACAAATGAAGTCCTGGCAAAAGTTCAGTCAGGAAGACAATACTTTCCATGTCTAGGCTGTAATCTTTCTTTCTCACCCTGCCATTCACTCCTTGCATGCACGCTCACTCATTATCTATAGATGTCATTTGAGCCCTTAATTGAGTCATCAAGTGTTCTACAGCTAATTCACAATCAACCAGACACCTTCTCTGCTTTTTCTGCCCATAGTTCTTTCATGCTGCAGCCATGCGCGCCCTCCACCTGCCCATCACTGTCCAGTCTTCTCGCATCCATCAGCCTCATCCACCTCATCAATCACCACCACCCTCACCAGTGTCTGGACTCCATGGGGGGGATTTATCTTTCTGCCACAACAATCTCCCTTTGGTGTCCAAGCGCCAAAGACTTCTGTTAAATATCAATCAGTTCAAATCATCTGTTAATTTGTACTTGCATATTCTGTATTAAATGTTATCTTTACTTCATTCTTCTGACTCTTCTGATTGAAATCTTGTTAGAGAAGTTAAACTGTCAACCCAAGTCCAGAGAATCACCACATTGTCAAATTATTTAATCTATTAGATTATCTTTTTAAATGTATTCAATTTGCATTGTTGGAGGAAGCGCTACATCCCTTCGCTAGATAATGATCAGTAGCTTGTTGTCTCACCTGGCTCTCTACAAAGGTAGCCATATTCACCCTCCTCCAAATCCATTTTTCAAGCTCACTGGTTAGCAGGCTCTATCTGGTTTGTTTAACCAAAGTATAAAAAGGCTTGTCCTCATGAGATTGCAAGAAAATCAATGAAAACTTAATTCCAAAAATTGCAGATTACATAGTCAACTGAACCCATTAAGAAGAGCAATGTATTCAGAGTTTTTGTGAATTTGATGGTACGATTGCTTTATTGAAAGTACAGTAGTACCATTGCCAATAGTGGGATAGTTAGTGGGCTAAAACTGTACATTAGTAGTTGAGGTAGCACGTTGAAAGGCAGATAGTTAAAGTCATTGCCTTATAGAAGCTCAGTTTTAGTAAGTTTTCCAACTTCTGCCAAGAGGGAACTTTAGATATTGGTCCCTAGATTATGTTCACTGAGTTTCATGCAGATCGGTCAAACTTCCTAGGAAGAGATCGATTTGAAGTGTTTTTTAAAAAAAAATCAAAATGGCGGAAAATCTATATAACCGGAAGTTATGGCTTCTTGAGGCAAATTTGTTTCTCATGAGGAGAGGCATCTCTGTGCAAAGTTTCATGTCTCTACGACATACGGAGCATGAGATATGCCCATTCAAAGTTTGCAATTTCAGTCGGTTGCTGTAGCGCCCCCCTTTGGCCAATTGATGTAATATTGCTTCATTCGCATCCTCCCATGACCCTCTACCACTGTGCCAAATTTCACATGGATTGACCAAGTCAGTGAGGAGAAAAACGTGGAACAGACACCCCCCCCCCCACACACACACACACCCACAGACAGAGTTTTCGTCATTATATAGTAAAATGTCAAAAAGTGAATCTGGAGGTTTGATGGATTTTGTTACTTTCGAACAGAGCCAGACGAGCTGTTTCCTGGTTTCAAGTTTTGGGCTAAGCTAAGCTAACCAGCTACTGGCTCCAGCTACATAAGCTACAGTGCTCATCATGCACACAGGAGATTGGTATTGATCTTTACATCTAACTCTCAAGAATTTAGATGAACATATTTTCCAATATGTCCGAGCAAAACTATTCCTTTTAAGACATTAGCTGCAGATATACATAACACAAATCTGCTGCTGAACATCTTTCTTGAAAAAATTATCTTCTTTTTTTTCCATTTCCTTGGTGACCCTCAACGTTCAAAACTTGGGGGTTTCAGCTTCTTGATGCCGCATATATTTGTTAGGAATCCCCATCAGAAAAAAATGATGGCTACTTGGACAGGAAATGACCAGTGAGGGTAATTAGCATATTCCCATCAGCAAGCACGTGAGTGATTTTAGCAGATTTTGTGGCAACCACCTGGCAACCATTCTTGTGAACCTCTCATCTCTGTCCTTCTGTCAGCCAGTCAAATGAACTATGCTGAACGATAGCATATTTTTATATTCTAATATAAAAGTAAATGACAAAAACGGAGATGGCTTTGGATACTTAACTCAGACTCAGACAGGTATTTAGTGCATTTTAAGATGCATTAAAGTTGGTGTTGCAATTCCCTTTGAATCATAGCCACTTTTTTAAAGCTGCCTTCCTCATGCTAGTTATTATCTGCATTTCTCAGAAACCGTTCAATAATCCCCCTTACAGAGGGACATTAACCTGCTCTTCAGTCAAATGATAAAGAATCATTTTTAGAGGAAACTGATTAAATCAGGGATCAAGTCCTCCAGACACACCTAATTTGTTTTTCTTAATGTTTTAGAATTCACCAGTAAATGATTTAAATTGCTCTGTTGGTACCCTTTTTAAGAAGTTGCTCTTTTTCTTCATTTTGTGCACTTCTCAAACACAAATACCCTGAAACCCCCCAAAAACTGTATCAGGCTATTCACATGTGATGGTCCTGATAGACTTACACATTTTCTGGTGAATTCAGTGTGATGATTTGTTTACAGTGGGTGTGTGTGGTTGCTACCCAAATGATACCAAACATGTGTCTATCATAGCTTAGTTGTGTTTCCTCCTTCAGGATAATTGCTAAAGAATCAAAGAACAAGTCTAGCCCACCAATTCAAGTACATTACTTAGAACAAGAAACCTGAGTCATGGTTTCAAGGGTTTGGTCAATAGGGCTTTATAAAATAAAAACTGTAATTAAAAAAATCTCACCTTCTTTTCTTCCTAGAAAAGAAAGTGTAAAAACACTAATTAGTTGTCGTAACTTTTTATTCAGCTCTTCCTGTTTTGACCTCACTTTAATGTTCACGTTGCTACACCTTTGTGTTTACACTGAAAATTGTGGCAGATTTAACATGAAACATTCCTGATATTTGAAACAATGGGTCCTTGACATAACTAGCTACATACCCAGGCCACAGTGCTTACGTAAGCAGAGCATGTGTGTTTCCATGATAATAGATTAGTGCTGGCACACTGCCCACATAAGCAGCACTGCTTAGGCACGGTGAGAATAGAATTCTAGGTGTCTGTGTTTAGGAGTCTTTAGTCAGCTGTGCACTTCTGGATGTACATCTGTATCTGTGTGGTGCTGCTGACCTGTATCCCATCTGTGTCTCACTTTTATGCTCTAGGTCCATGAGTCTGAACATTGTGCATAATTGTAGCCAGAGCTGGTTCTGCAGGCTGGTCAGGGAAGCAAAGTGGCAATTTTTCAATTAAATGTATTTACTCTAACCTACATTTCGAATATGCACCTGGTTCGACAGCTTTTTTCAGGTCATGCTGCACCAAGAAAAATCTAATATCTAAATAGGCCTATGTTATCTTTTTAAATGTATTCAACAGGCATTGTTGGAAATCAGCACTATGACCCTTTACTGAAATTGTCAATCAAGATCTTGCATTACAAATCCTACAGAGAAAATTGATAAAATGTACTTAATGTGTCAGCAAGTTCCATAGAAAATGTGGCCCTTTGCCTTTTCAACATTTGATGGCTATTTCTACTTGCAGCCTGATGAGTAGGAGTTAGTTTTAACTATTTTATGGTTAGGTAGCCTAGTTTAATTCAGGGGTTCTCAATGTTGGGGTGTGGCCCCCTCCAATGGGTCTGCAGAAAAAAAATAGCTTTTTTGTTTGTTTGTTTTGATGATTATTGACATAGTAAATAATTTTTTCAAGTTCTACCACAAATATCTATATTTGTATTTTTGGACTTGAATCTTTGCTTAATTTGACCCTACTTGGGTCTCAAACAAATATTCACAATAGCCAAGAGCTAGTTAGCTTAGTCGAGCTTAGCTAAACTGGGAAACAGGTGACCTGGCTCTGTCTAAAGGTATGCAAATCCACTACCAGCAGCGCTAAAGCTCATTGTTTAGAGAGTTATATCTGGTTTGTTAATCCATACAAAAATTAAAGTTTAAAAATAAAAAGTTTTGGTTTTACTAGAGGTTCTGTCAGACTATGGGTGCGTTTGTAAATCCAGTCTGACGCTCTACACTAAACCAAGAATGCTGTTGTTTGAAGAAACAAAGTGTACATGAATGAACGACCCATTAAGTTAATCACACAGTCACTCCTCTTGGTGCTCTGCTGCTTTGAGAGTGTGAAGTCTATTGGTACATATCAACAGTAGGCTACTGCGACTTTACGAGTTGTCCAGTTTGTGTCTTGTCTTCATATAGTTGTAAGACAACCAGCAAAGACTTAAACTAACAATATATAACATCAAAAAGTGAATTAAGAGGGTATTGGCAGGTGGATTTTGTTACTTTTGGACAGAGCCAAGCTAGCCATTTCCCTGTTTCCAGGCTTCATGCTAAGCTAAGCTAAGCCAAGCTAAGCTAACCAGCTACTCCAATTCCAACTACAGGCTACAGTATTTGGCATACACATAAGAGTGGTAATCTTTTTATCTAACTCTCAGCAAGAATTTGAATAAACAGAAATCTGCTGCTGAGCATCTTTTTTTTTTTTGATAAAGATGTCTTTTTTCCCCATTTCTGTGGTAACAAATGTTTCCAACCTTGGAGGTGGTTTTTATATGTTTTTTTGGAATCCCCAACAAAGAAACAAAATGCTAAAGCCTCCTTGGGTATGAAATGACCAGTGGGGGTAACTAG